CCTGTTTCCCACCTCTGCCCAACAGCTTTAAGCAGTCATTGCTGCAGGTCTGCCAGCAGAGCTAGAGGTGTATAGGAAAGAGCAAGGGGGAGGGGGAGGAGCAGAAATGAATTCAGGAGCCCAGAACCACCATCTCACCTGGGCCAAGACACAGGGCACTTGTGAATCTGAAGACATTTGACATTGGCTTCCACTTCCCTTTCATCTGAACTTCACTCCAGCTCTTCAGGCTGCACACCTCACTGTCTGGCTGTGGATGCAGAAGGGGCTGACTGGCCAGTGCACTCCACTGCTTTGCTTGGACACAGACCCTGGTTGCTTTGGGGTTCTTGCCAGGAAGCCTCCCCCCTTATGGTAGCACTACACCCCAAACTAGTTTACTAAAATGTTTCTGGGTAGCTCAGCCATTGCATCTCATGTCCCACACTGGTTAACTAGGAGTCTCCCTTCAAGAGCAGACAGTGTATTGGCGCTAAGTGTAAACTGCTGGTAAATAGATGGTGACCTAAGCAGGCTTTGAAGAAACAAGGTCTGCTAAGGGTTGGCTACTGCAGCACCTAAAGAGCCCTGTCCTGGTAGTTGCTGTCCCCACTATACTGGGGAGGCAAGAGTCAGAAATCTCTATGGAATTCAATCCCCCTTCCACACAAGCAGCAGAGGTATAGAACATTTAAAGGCTAAAACACAGTGTGGGGTGGTGGTTGGGGACACAATATGAGCCAGGAATCAGCTGTCCTGGCTCATGCCAGGTCCCCCCAGCTGCGCTTCTGATTTTGAAATGTATTAAGAACCAGCAGGCTCTTAATACATTTAAAGAGCAGAGGTGCAGCATCTGGGACTGCACCCGGTCCCCACTACCTCCCTTGCTCCCCACAGAGACAGTGCTGCGGGGCTCCTGCTCCTCTCCCACCTTGCTGCCTCAAGGGGAAATGTGACTAGTCGAGGGACTAGTGGACTCTCTCATTAGCAGATAAGCAAAAGCTTATTGGTTAGTTGACTAGTAGCTTACATCCCCATCCCCTACCTCTCTCATCCTTCCTGCTTCTGCCAGGCTGCTTGTAAGTTTGCTTGATGTTCAAGTCAAGCCACATGCAAATCAGTGTCTTGCTCTGACATTTGGGATAACTATCCCTCAATGTATTAGTGTCCCCCAGTCCCCCCCCCCCCCCACACACACACTAGCTTGGTTGGGTCAGGGGAGGAAGGAGAAGGAAGAATAGAAGACAATCACTAATATCATCAGGGCATCTGATCACCCCTGTGTCTAAAAGTTACACAGGGAAGTAGAGTCCTGCCCAAAAGCCTGCCCACCAAAGACGACCATCTGGCAAATGCTCAAGGCAAGGGGCCTAGTTCCCACACAGTAACAAAGCCAACATCCACTCCAAACAGTTATGCGGCTCAGTAGAGAAAAAAAGGTGTTTATCTTGTAAGCCACATTTTATTTCTAACCTGATATTCTAGTCTGACCTTGATGAGGCTCACATACACAAATATATTAACATAACCTCACTCTCCCATCTCCTAGATGGGTTTGTTTCCTAGATAAACCAGCTGCTTTCGTGGCCTTGGCAAGCTTCCCAGGTAACAAGTAGACTTCCTGATCACATCCTTGTCTGGGCTCTCATCTGCTCCTAGCCAGACCTGGAGTATCAGGAAGCAGTTACCTGGGCATACTCTCTCCAAAGACTTTGTAAATCCAGTAAGAATCCAACAAATCTAGATTATCCTCAACAAGGCTCTAAGGTCACTTTTTTCATCCCCAGCCATGACAGCTTCAACATCCAAGGTACATTCCTAAATCCTGACTGGGAAAGATGACTGTCTGTGGCTCCTCAAGCAAGCAAGTTTTAAATTCATCTCCAGGAAAGATCTGAAGCACCCAAAGAGGTGGTGAATCAGAGTTGCCCTTAGTCATCACACTAAACTAGCATCCCTGTTGTACATCCCCACTTCAGCCTTCCCCTAGGTTAGTGAAGGAGGTTCAGGACTTCATTCCAGTTCTCTACTGGAGTAGAGTGGCAACAGAAGCCAAGCAATCTCTGCATGTGTTGGGCCTGAGACTGCAATGGCTTCTGCTCCTCAATTGCAACTCTTTGCATTTCTCTTTCCTTCCTTCCCTCCCTCCAGAAAACTAGACACCAGGATCCTTTTTGCAGAGGGGCCCTTTTAGTGCCTCATTCTAATTTAGGCCAGGCAGAGTCCAATTACTAAAGAGATCCCACTCACAAGGGGGCAGATGTTAGCTAGTCTGTCCTCACACCAAACTCCATATTTGGAAGGGGGGGGTCCAGTTGAAAGAACTTTTGTCCACCACCCACAGCTGGTGGTGGTGGTGTGGGAAACAAATCAGACCAACAGAGTGCTGTCTCCACACTGAAAGGGACAAGGGAGGACAGCAAGACCCCAATGAGTACAGTTGAAGTATATAGACCTTCCATGGCCAGTATCAAGTATTCATTTAGGCTGCAACTCCCATAGGCTTTTAAAAAGCCTCAGTCTCCAAAGGATCCTCTCCTCCCCAGGATCAGACAGTAGAGACAGGCTTATCAGCCAGTAGGTGAAAGGGCTGTCTAGGAAAGTCTCCCTAGGGCATGTGGTTTTAGGTTTGTTTGTAATTAACCTTGGAACAGAGTGGTTCTACTGCAGGGGGAGAGAGGAGCCAGCAAGGGACCAAAAGAACAAGCAAGTTGTGCCCCAGCTGAGCCTAAAGAGAAGCAGCAACTCCACAACTGCTGGTTGCTGCTGCTGGCTAGGATTAACAAAGCGGAAACCGCTTCCCTGCCTGAAACTGTACTTAAAGGAGAGATCATATTGCAGCTAATTGCTCCACTGCTATCCCTGACAGCCCGGAGCAGTTTGCTATTTCTTTCTCCTTTAAGAAGGGGAATGAATGAAGCTAATGCAAGAATCCAGATTGGGGTCCATCTGGACCCATGAACCAAATCCTTTTCCTCCCCATCCCAGAAGTTTGGGCTTTGGCTTTCTACACGTGCCAGAACTATCCTCATGGGACAACTCTGGTGGGTTGCCAGGAACTCAAGGATGCTCCGCTTAATTCACTGAGATTTATGCCCTCGATCCTGGCTTCCCCTGCAGCCACTTCAAAATGAAGCATCAGACCCAGAAGAGAGGTGCAATAGGGACTCTATGCCCTATCAACTTGCTAAACGGGGTCATTTGACCAATGCCCACCACACAAGATGGAGCCCACAGACTCTTTCACTCCATCCAAACTAGAGGGAAGTCTCTTTTGAGGGAAGGAACTTGAATGCTGAACAGACACATACCCCCTTACTGGGAAGGCTCCTCAAAACCTTCAGGCAGCTCAGCCACACTGCTTACACTACTAAACACCTCAGGCTCCTCAAAACCTTCAGGCAGCTCAGCCACACTGCTTGTACTACTAAACACCTAGACACATGCCACACCCTGAAGAGGAGCAATGTTATTTCCACCAGTGCTGCAGGCGCCTTGCTCTACACTTCCTTGGCTTGTAGCAAGGAAGAATTCCCTCCGCAGCCTGTTTGACCACTGTTGAATACTTCTCCAACCCTCCACCCCCATACCACCCCTCCCAACATCTGGATTTCCAATCCCAAATATCCAGCCTTTTGTCATGCTGGAGCAACAGCCCCCCTCCTCCTTCCCCTCCAGCTTAGCTTAGCAATAGCCATTCTTTCTGAACCACAAGTCCACCCTTGTTCTCCCCATCCCCCCATCCTCTGGCTGGACAAATACTAAATATCAGCCAAGAGGGCCATTTGATGTTTATTTTTGGGAGCAGAACGTGGTGGTTGATTAAGTCCTAGAGGGAAGGCAGTGAATTCCCTGTCGCAGCCTGCGGAGCCGAAGACAACCATTACAGACACTTCAAGTGAGGGGAGGTAGGAATTCTGGTGTTCCACACAACCATTTTGATGGTAGCTCACAGAAGGGTTTAAATCAGATCCATTCCCCAGCCTTCCTGCACAAATGGGAAGCCAAGCCACTAGCATGCAGCGGAAGGTCTGTATGGCAAAGCCAGGCAGTTGGTTGTAAGAGGTAGGAAGCCAGTCTTATATGTGAGAGTTTTGCTTCATTTCAGTATTCTCTCAGACTGCAGGGAGAAGGGGGAATCATTCTGTAAACCCCCCCTTTTGTTAGATGCCTTCAGCAACCAACAATTAGGTTTGTGCTTGCCAAAGGCGCAGGATGGGACTGAAATTAGATGCTTAACAGCACTGCTGTGTGTGCTGACACTTTTCCATTGAACAGTGAGCGCACATGGAGCTCCACCATGGCCAGAGATACCGCCAGTCCATGAAATTCACACGGTCCTTCCCCTCCCCCCCACCAAATCATGCATAAAGCTGGTCACCACGCTACTCTATTAAAAGAGAAAACTCAGACTT